TCGAACTCCTGGCCTCAACTGATCCTCCTGCTTCAGTCTCCCAAAGTGCTGGGATTACAGGCATAAGCCACCGTGCCAGGCCCCTCCACATTTTATAGATGAGGAAAGTAAGGAGCAGAGATGCTGAGGAACTGGTGCAAATTTACAGAGCTAGTAAGTGGCTTGGTTAACCCATCTATAAATTGAGGACAAATAGTAACATCTACCTCATAGGCTTGCTGTGAGGAATAAACAAGAAAATATATGTAAAAAACTTACAGCAGTGACTGTAAACAATAGCCGTTATTACCAACCCTCTCATTTTATAGAAAAAGAGACTGGGACCCAGAGAGGAGAAAGGGCTCAGTTCATGTCACACAGTAACTTAGCAATAACCTGGCTAGAAGTCTTTTCTTTTTCTCTCTCTTTCTCTCTCTCTCTCTCGCTCTCGCTCTCGCTCTCTCTCTCTTTCCTTTCTTAGATGGGGTCTCGCTCTGTCACCCAGACTGGAGTGTAGTGGTGAGATCTTGGCTCACTGCAACCTCTGCTTCTCGGGTTCTAACGATTCTCCACCCTCAGCCTCCCGAGTAGCTGGGATTACAGGAGCCCGCCACCATGCCCTGCTAATTTTTGTATTTTTAGTAGAGCCAGGGTTTCACCATGTTGGCCAGGCTGGTCTCCAACTCCTGACCTCAGGTGATCTACCCGCCTCGACTTCGCAAAGTGCTGGGATTACAGGCCTGAGCCACCGTGCCCTGCAAGAGTATAGTTTGAAAAAAACATATTTCATAGTACTCATATATGCTTAAAAATGTTTTTAAAACTGTTGTTTCTAGAATACTATCTACATTAAGCAAAGTGAGATGAAAGCCTCTTGGCTGGTGGAGCATGCATTAAAAACCTTACTATCCACTCGGAGGAGCTCTGGGAGGGCTGGGGGAAGAGGAGTGAGAAATTGACCCCTCGGGACTCCTCAGGTTTCCTGCTGGAATCTAATTGCCAAGTCCCCACCTTCCTGCAGGGGCGTGGAATCTGCTGACCCGATCCCAGTTAGGTCATGTGTGCCTCCCTCTCAACACACTCACACTCAGTACTGGACCCAGGGCAGCTGTGGGAGGGGCAGCATCCTCGGCTCAGGCTGGGTCTGTGCCAGTCATTGAGAGGAAGGCTCCCCGACCCCCAGGCTCCACACTGATGGAAAACTGGAACAGGAGCTCTCGATAGCCATAGGATGAGCTCGCTTGGTTTTCTGCCCTCTCTACTATTGCATTTATCTCAGTTCCCTAGACACCCGGGTGTTCTTTTCTTCCAGACGTTCGTTATTTGGCATCTAATTTCCACAGCCCTTTTGTGCCAGCAGGCGTTTGGGTGGTCATTTCTCCTGCTGTTCCTCCCAGCTCCCTGTCCTGCCCTGCCCGGCCCCCATTCCTCCAGCTGTGCAAACAGGGTGGGTCCCTCACGCTGCGCTGCTGCCCCTGAGGCCTTCTGTGTGAACCTTGGGTTAGGCACTCCTGGGGGTACTGGAAGATGCCCCATCTCCTGCTCTCTGAGAATTCTTAGGATCGGGGAGTCAGGGTGCCCACTCTGGGTGCTAGGGAAACAGGACCCCCACTCCCTAGGAGCTACAGGGCATTCGGCAGGGAGCTCATGGAACAGAAGGGTTTGGGAGTTGGGGGTAAGGATGGTTCTGTTCCATGAGCTCCCTTCTGTTCCATGGGAGGGAGTTGGGGGTAAGGATGTACATGGAAAGTTCATCAGGCACACAAGAAGATGAGTTAAACTGTAGCTCGAACCTCAGTGCCCTTGAGAGGGGAGGTGAGTTAGGATGTGAGAGCCACACTGTGCTCCTACCTCTAAGGTGCTGGCCCCGTTTGCAGTTAAGGTGCACCCCAAATTTGGGTGAGGTGGGGTGTGATACATTCCACTGCTTGGCCAAGTCTGCCACCTCCCATGGCAAAGGCCCCACCTCATAAAATTCTTCTTGGGACCCAAATACTTCCTGTTTCTTTAGGGGAGGAAAAAGGGGGCCTCTTCTTCAAGAGTCTTTGCTGCTAATGGATATAGCAGACCCTGGTTTGAAACATGATCTGTGTGAGGAACCATTTCCCCACACTCTGGCAATTTACCAAGTTAGTCAGACCTGGCTATGAAATTGGGCTGGGGGGCCGGGTAGCCAGACTGAATTGAATGTTCTCCTTGTTCTCCCTTCCTCTCCTTGTCTCCCTCCTGTCTCTTATCCCTTCTCTCTCTCTCTCTCCTTCTCTCTGTCCACACACAGAAAACTCTCATCATACACAGATATTTTAAAAGGCACCTCCTGCATTCATAGCTCATTGTTTGGGATAAAAGAAGCAGGCTAGGCCGGGCGCGGTGGCTCACGCCTGTAATCCCAACACTTTGGGAGGCCGAGGCGGGCAGATCACGAGGTCAGGGGATCAAGACCATCCTGGCTAACACGGTGAAACCCCATCTCTACTAAAAATACAAAAAATTAGCTGGGCATGGTGGCGGGCGCCTGTAGTCCCAGCTACTCGGGAGGCTGAGGCAGGAGAATGGCGTGAACCCGGGAGGCAGAGCTTGCAGTGATGCGAGATCACGCCACTACTCCAGCCTGGGTGACAGAGAAAAAAAAAAAAAAAAAAAAAGAAGCAGGCTAGACACACCCAGAGGGGGAGGGAAGATGGAGCATTTTCAGTTCTACATCATGTAGCTCTAACCCTAGCCCTGAACCACCCTGCAGATGTGTGCTTTTGGTCCCAAGGTGGGATTTGGCAGGCCACAATTTGCCCAATGCAAACCCAGTCCCGACTGTGAAGAGAAGTCAAGGCTCACATCCCCCCTGGGCTGGGGAGAGGAGAGGGAAAAACAGGGATGATAATAGCAGAATAAACGGGAGGGTAGTCTTTGTCTTCAAAGGGCAGGCCAGAGTAATTAATGATATCCTCTCTTCGTAGTGCCCGCCTCTCTACTGACTCCTTAATTCCTGGTATTCCTGAGTCACTTGGGGTGGGCTCAGGGGTCAAATACAGCCTGGATCTGTAGAGATTATAAGCAGTTTTAGTGCCCAGCCCAGTTTGTGGCCTCATATCAGATTCCTGTTTAGCTCCCTTGTCACCAACTCCAGACTTCTTGTGATGTCCCATTCCCTGAAGTCTCGTTGGCTCCTGACAGTGGCTTGCTATCCCTTGATCTCCCAGGAATAAGCTCCCAAAACCTTCACCAGTCTGCCACAGCCCTTCCCCTACTTGTTTCCCCAGTGTGAAGTTCAAGACTTTAAAAATTCCAATGGTTTGATTTATTAGTATCTCGCAGCCTAGTAGTTAAACAAATAAATGGCTAGTTTGTTTAAAATTTAAGGATAAGGGCCAGGCGCGGTGGCTCATGCCTGTAATCCCAGCATTTTGGGAGGCTGAGGCGGGTGGGTCACCAGAGGTCAGAAGCTTGAGACCAGC